GCATTTGTAAGATAAGTGAAAAGTCATGGGCCTTTCTGTATCTTGCAGCTAACTTCCTGGTTTTCTTGCTGATTAAGTGCTCGGCGGAACGTTTGGAGACATGAGAGTATGAACAAATTGTGAAGAAAGGAGGGCTATAACTTGATGGATTTGTTTATATAAGTGCTCCACAGCGGTGCACACACTGGTAGTGAGGAAAATACATCGCAGTCAGAGAAATTAAGGAATTGCTGAAAGCATTCCCATTTTATCTTATGGATTGCAGCTGGCGGTGTAGCGGCGAGTTTAGTGACCATTTTAAGTTGGAAACTGACTCGGATCATTTTATGGTCGCTGCCAGGGAGATTTTTTAAAATCTCGGTCTGTGGATTGGGTATCCCCATTGTGAACAGTAAGTCTAGTACATTGGCGGACCTGGTTGGACTGGTAATCCATTGTGTCAAGCCCCCTGCTCTGATGGAGGAAAAAAAAGAGGTGTGCAAGCTAAACGTTGGATGGGACGTATTTTCGGTAGGTTGAAATCGCCGGCAATAGTCTTCTGGCTGTGTGGCAACTCTGGTGCGAAGTCAAATGCAGAAGTGCTGTTGGTGATATTCATGTTAGACGCATTCGGTGGGTTGTAGATACATGCGAGCAGTGTGTAAGATGAGACACCCGCAACTGACAGCCAAATAGATTCAGGGATATTTTCCAATTGTGAGTGGTCTATAGGTTTAGCTGTAAATGTTTTGCGCAGGTATATAATACACCCTCCACCTTTTCTGTCGCAACTATCTTTTCGAAACTATTGGTAGTTTGGAATCATCAGAGTAGAGACAAGCGTATCTGAAGAACACCATGTTTCAGTGACGAGGATCGCTTGTGAGTCATTGAACTGTGCAAGTGTGTTTATAAAATGAAGTTTGTTGAGTATGGATCCGGCATTAATCAGAATCACTGAAAATGTACCAAGTATTGGGGAATTATCGCTGTCTTTTATGTAATTATCTGCATCTTCTCGTGTGAGCATGGTACACATAGTAGGTAGGTGCGGATATGATGGGCCCGAGTTAGCCATTTGAACGTTTGTTGATAAGGGTAGCATGTCATGTGTGGATATCGACAGGAACCCAGACAGCATGTTTAGGTTGTCGTTGATTTGGCAATGAACTAGCTTTGCCATCTGGTCACATTGGAGGAAGGGTGGGATCAAAATGTTGACCTCCGCCGGATGTATCTGAGATGGGAATGGGTGCGAGTGCATTCCCATCGCCGCTAAAAATGGTTGTTGGAAGAAGCCGCTTGAGAGGTTGGCGAAACATGGAAAACTGCGAGTGGTAGCATAGTCCTACTGGTCGATGTTCTTCCATTCTCTGTGCACTTCCTGCGATTGTTTTGAGTGTAGGATGGTAATTAGGCGTAGCCAAGGGACAGTTGTTATTGGTCTTATTCAACATGGAAGATTGTTTGCCCTGGTGTTTGTAGGTTGGTCGATAGGGAATTTTGGGTGCGACCGAATATTTAGAATCAAAACGTTTTTTAGTGATACAGGTCCCTGGATTGGAGAATTCGTCCTTGGGTGACAGTGGACTATGAATTACATCAGGTTGTCTATTCTTGGACGTGTCTTGTTGGTTTGAACCGGATTGTGATATAGTCAACGAGTTGTCATTACTCCACTCTTCCAAGCACTTAGACTTTCCTTTAATTCTTGTGCATAAGGAGTTCGATATAATGGGAGTGTTGTTGTCAGGAATTGGAGAACTCGCTTTATCCGTTCCTTATGTAGAGAGTGTTTCAGTGGAGCTAGGAAGGACTTCTTTGGAGCTAGTTGACAATGCTGATAAATTATCGAGGTTTAAATCAATACATCTGGTATCTACCTTTGACGTTTGGCTCAGATTTCTCGAAGAGCTTGGTTATTTTTTCCGGTGTTCGCGGCACTGTCAATTTCGGACCTTTGGAGGGGTGTCCTATCTAATTTACTTGAAGGAATCGCTGCGCGTCTTCCTCGCTCAAAAATTTGAAAATGTTTGGACAACTATGTTTCGGTGTCTTCTTTTTTAAACGTTGTCATTTGCAGTCAACGTCAGATATGTTACAAGCTTTCAGTGTCAGGCTTTCAGTATCAGGTTCTAAGACCCAACCTGTCCGGAACATTAAAGACAGTCACACTTTTCGCCCTACATATTCATTCATGCACTTCAGAGACAACAGATGCGTTTATCTGCCTTGCTTTTCCCATTAGGACTGGATCAGTCTTCTCCAATGGGTTATTGATATAATCAAGCGTAATCAAGTGATCTTTGAAGAATTCAAAGAGTGCCAGTGTTTTTTCATTTCATTAAGTTGCGATTCCCAAGAGAGCAATTTATCACTTAGTTCTGCGATGAGGTTAGTTTTAGCCGAGGAACAGATTCGCTTTTCTTTTGGGGCCTCGCATTTTATTCGCTTTGCTGGTGGCGTGGAAAGTACACTACGCTTAGCTTGCCGAATACGGCGAGACATCAGTGGGGCCATTGTGATCTAAGCTTATCAATGTTCAGACTTAGGCGTTAAGGAAAGATAATGCAATTAAAAGCAACCTTGTGTGATTTCTCGCAGTTGGAGTTGGATAGGTGGATTAGATTCCACGGCTACGTTTGTCGATACTAGCCACAATTCAACGAACATGTCCAGACGTGCTAGCGTGGTCAGTGGGGCTTGGAGATGGAGTGGAGCATGTGTACACACACACGCGCACATACACACATACAAGTGAAGGCAGGCGCGCACGGGTCAAGCACCTGATCCTCTGGACTCGGTAGGCTAGCTGACGCACGCTCTACGAACAAAGCGATACTAAACGATGCGGCGGTTACCGATCGATAGCGGCTGCGACAAGCCGCTTGGCGTTGTTGGATTGACATCGGTAAGCCGGTGGCTGCATTGTATGACATATCGGCTTAAATCTGACTTGGATGAGCACGAATTTAAGTGAGTGGTATAGCCTGGAAAAAAGCTCTTTCAAATGAGAGTGCAGTGCCTAACGATAACTTGAATGTGAAGAACTTTCGCACTTGAATTCCTATAACAAGTCCGTCCAAATTGCCGAAAGTGAATATTCTATTGCAGCGTTGGGATTACTCCGA